TACTCACCCCCTCCCCAAACCCAACCTTCATCCTCCGGTCCGTAAACCGTCTCAGCGCATCCTCCACCGTCCAACCCTCCTCCGCAATAAGATAACTACACGCCATCGTCCCTGACCTCCCCTTGCCAGCCTTGCAGTGCACAACCACCACCCTCTTCTTTGTAACTTCCTCCAAATCCTCCCCTTCCGTAGCAGGATTCAACCAAATCCTCATCCCCCCTATCACCACAGGCACCACACAAAACGGCGGCGGGTGATGATCCGGCCAAGGGTAATGCTTCACCCGTCCGTAGACCGCCTCGTCTGGGTACCCAGTCCCCTCGGCCCGAAACTCCCAAATCATCCACTCCTTCCCGTGGCGGGCGTCAAGAAAGGAAACTAATCGGTCGAGGGGGTTGCGGTAGGCGAGCTGGGGGTACGTCTGGCTCGGTCCTGATCTGATTCCGCACACATCCTACATTAGAACACGGTCAAGGTTTGGCGTTGGGAGAGAAAGAGGAAGGCAAACAAACGTCGCGATTATCTTCTTGGTCACATAGCACAGGTCCAGCCCCGTGTCTTGGTGTTTGACGCGGGGCCCGGCGACGAGCTGCCGGAGGAGGGAGGTCATTGTCGTGGCGGGAGGTTGGTTGATTTTGGGCGGTGTTATAATGCCGGCATCAGGAGAAGTGCCAAAATGGTGGAAATATACAACGATGATAGAACAGAGAACAGGGTCGCGAATACAAATCCAGCGTTGTCGCGTGATGTTACAGCTCAACTCAATTGATTTGTCGGTGCTGCCTGCCAGCGCCCACCAGCGCGCAGCGACGTCATGGTTGGTGTACCAAGTGGGGTTCAAAGTTCAAAGGGACCATGTCTTGGCATCAGCTCCCTCCACACCACTTCACATCAAAGCAATCACGCTCATCGGTCATAGGATGCCATTCCCGCTATCACACTCTTGCCCCCTAAAGACAAAAACGAACTCGTGACACAAGAGGTTCAAGAAGAAATCAACACCTAAAACCTCATCCTGACCATCCTGTCTCATGCGTATTTCCCCCAGCCAAACTCCTCACCAGAAACAAAACCGCAATACCAAGAAGAAAGGGAGTCCATAACCTATGAGACGTAAAAGCGCAAACACCACCACCCCTCCAAGCAATTATCAGCCTACAGCCACATATCCAGCTCTTCTTTGCTTCCTCTGTCCTACTCTCCCGCATCCTGGCAAATGCATATGCTTCACCGTGCTTCTCATCCTCCACTCTGTCCCCAGATCACGCTCCCTATTTCCCCTCTCGCAAGGAGTATCACTCGCCGCCGTAGTTGTTCCATTGTCATGTCGTGCGGCTTAGCTCTCTAGCTTAGTGTTGATCTATTCAAGATGACTTCTTAGGAGCAGCAGCGCCGTTGACATACTTGTTGACGTCAGTCGCGCCGTGAAACTGCCTCGCGACACCCTTGACAGTATCCCAAGCCTGGCGAGCCACAGGGGGAGTACCCTGAGCACCAATCAGGTTGTCAACGCGCGCCTCAAGCTGGGCAAACGAGTTCTTGACATGGCTGCTCTGAGCGTAGCGCGCGCGAAGGAAAGCGGTGTAGACAGCGATCAGGATCCACGAACGGCGCTGGAAGAAGAGGGCAGACAGGAGGATACGAGCCCAAAGAGCAATCTCGAGGCTGGCAACAACCGACATAGAGGAATCGTAGTACTTCTTGACGAAGCTGCCGATGGCATCAGCCATGGGGTGGGGCGCATACTGGGGCTTGCCGTTGGGGGAAGCGGCAGCACCTGGAACCAGCTTCTGGGGAGGAGCAATGGTTGGGATAACGTTGGCACGGGTGTATGTGGCGACGTGAAAGATCGAGTAGATGCCGTACGGGAGGAGCGCAAGAGGGTACTGGGGCATAAAGAGCCAGACGAGGGCCATCACTAGGACTTTTGTTAGCAAGCAGAACCTTGTCACCCTTCCGAAACCAGACATACAGAGGTATTGCACGTTCTCATCCGAGAGATAACCCAAGGCACCGCCGGGCTGCTTGGCGCCCGTCTTTTGGCGAGCCCGCCATGTCTTGTACACCACGATGCCGTATGTGCTAGCCGCGGCAACGAAGGCAGACCGATAGCAGAACGAGGCCATGCCACCGTAGTAGTTAAATCGTATCCATGAGAAGGCATATCTGGTGATGCAGAGGATAAGAACGGCGTGACTGTGGTCCAGGGTTAGCTTCATTTTCTCACTCTGCGGTGTCCAACTCCGAGCTCCATGATTGGATTTCATAGCGTGGCAGCATCGGCATCGATATCGGATAAAGGCAGCTCAACATACCCAGCGAACCAAGCAACTACGACACATTGACATGTTAGCAGAGAACTTGCAACGACGTGCAGCAGTCCGGCAGTAGCGGTGATACCGAAAAGGCGACAGCAACGGGAGGAAATGCACACGTACACTGCAAGGTCGAGGCCAGTTTTTGCAGCCTCTGGGGAAGAGGCATGTCGGCCGACGGCGGGGGAGCCATCGTGACGGTCTAGGGATAAAGGTAAAGGATTTTTCGTCGGAGTGAGCTGGAAGGTTGCGCACTTGGTTGAAGCTGGCGGCGTTTGGTGTTGTCAAGCTGGGAGCTGGGAGCTGGAAGAGGTGGCTGGTGGAGTTGTTTCGTACGTCGTCGAAAAAAGGTGGTGCTTTCCGATGGATGCTTTGTGAGTGCTCGGCAGTTTCAGTGGGACGTGCGTCACTGACGTTCTTCGCTCAGCTGCAGGGGTCTGACGTTGCTTTGATGGGCCGCGGGAAACTGCGTTGGAAGCTCGAGGACCAGTTAGTTGCTACTGGGTTTGATAGCTGTGTGTTTGGATTCGGGTATCAATAATTTACATAGACAATGAAGCAAAAAAAAAAAGAAAAGAAAAAGAGCGCGCGTAGTTTCAGGCTGGGAGAGAAGGTTAAAAATGACTGCACACAGACTGTCACCAGATTGTCGTCATCACCGGAAGCTCCCAGCTGACTGGAAACTTGGCAACCTACGGATACCTAGCTTCACGTGGAGCTTTGACGTTTATCGAGAAGACGCTGGAACATGCAGGGACGCCTTGTTTTCTCTTGACACTACGCTACCTTATCAATGTCTCAATCCATTGTTCCATGCTTTGGGAGTATTGCAGTCAGAAATTCCTAGGCTCTGATATGTCAAATTGCATCTTGTCTTTCAAGCCTTCCGTTTGACTCCGTTGGAAAACGGTAGTTGTTCGTTCTTACCCCACCAACCGATGGCCAATGAGAGCCTCTCAACACTCCACCCAGCGGACAGTTTATTCCGGAGATAAGCCTCAGCCAAAGCTAATATCCTGTGGCTTCTCGGAAAAAAAGGGGCACACGACACCACTATCACCACGAGGAGTAAGCTCTGTCTAACTGATCATAAACCATATCGCAATTCACTGGTCATATGCACAACAGCGACTGCATTATTGATGGGTGAGAAAAACTTCAGATATTGTGGTATATAGCGCTGCAAAATAATGTACATTGATGCTATCACGTTGCTTCGGAAGACAGGGAGACCACCCATTCTGCCCAGAACTCCCAAACTCCCAGGCCTGAACAAGCACATTTCCCCCCTTAAGATCATAACCATGCCTCCTTCGCCGGCAAAGGCCACCCTACATCCTCCCGTTTCACCTCTGACGAGGATTTGGGAAGTGTATTTACCGGCGGCTCAGGGGCCGGCTGATATGGCGCTTCCAGCGGATCCTTCTCCAACGGACTTGTGAGAATATCACCATAGATCTTCTCGGCGCTGTCCATAAAGTGAGAAGACGCCGTCCGCCGGCTGAGCGCCCTGCTGATAGCAATCGACGAGGGCGTCATGCTGGGCTGATACCAGGCTGACCCACCAGATGCGTCGGAGGCGGATGGTTGATGACCAAAGTAACCCGACCTCACACTCGGAGAAGGGGTCGTTTGAGAATGAGACCGCATGTGAGCTGGTGGTGGTTTCGCCATCCTTGGCGACCTGTGGGATCTAGAACGTGACATGCCCCGAGGCACCCTGTCTAAAGATGACCGTGAGGATGGAGGCTGTGTCGATGGCTTGGGCGAGGGCATTGCTTGTATTGGTATCATGCCCGATTGAGGTGAGGGTGGTGTCGGTGGGAGCTCTTCCACATGGTGCAAGTCTGAGGGACCTGTTGGGGTCGGCTCAGTAGGTCCGGGTGGACTTGGCGCGAAAGAGTTTCCTGCATCGCCTTCCTCCTTGTCTTCAATCCAAAATTGTCGTTGCCCGGTTTGTTGACCTGTCGACCCCTGAGGGCTTGGTAGCTCCTTGACAATGTAGGAAACAATGGCTCGGTCGAGGGCAGCATTCATTTCATTTTCTTCCTCTTGCGCACGTTGCTTAGCTTTGCGACGTCGCGTGAAGAAAAAGAACACGAGCAGAGATATAAGTGACGAACCAACCACCGAGACCGCGACAGCAATGCCGACAATAGCTGGAGACACACTGGACTCATCTCCATTGTCTACTTGTGTCTGTCTCACTGTTAGCATTACTACAAGAATATCCAAGGGACTGCAAAGCCTTACCCGATAGGTATCATTGCTTGTCCTTGGGATTGTCGAGGTGGCCACTGCTAACACCTCGCTGATGCTACTAGCAGCTGATTCTTCCACGGCAGAGAGCGCCTTGGCAGCAGAAGCCTCAGCTGCCGCCAGCGCTTTCGAGGCTGATGCTTCCGCAACCAACAGCGCACTCGATGCCGATGCGGCAAGATACTGGGTTGAAGATTCCAGTTGGTTTATGGAAACCGCAAATTCTCGTGACAGAGACACTGCGCTGGCTGTTGCCGAAGCGAGTGCTTCTTGTAGCGAGTCTATTGACTCAAGAAGCTCACTGATGTCGACAAAGTTGCGCTTTCGGGGAGTCGGGCTCGCAGTGACGGTGACTGTATAGTAGGCTGTTGATGTGGTTGACACAATCCGCTGAGATGGTTTCGTTGGTGTCGGTGCTATTGTTGTTGATGTCCTCGACATGTGGTTGACCTGAGCGTGACCATCTTGACGTCTACGGGTCAAGGTCTGTGGTCGAGGTTGTGGCAAAACATGTATTGCGTTTGAGTTCTGTTCGACGTCGTTCGAGGATGATGTTCGAGTGGCGGCGCCATCGCAGAGGAATGCTATTGAGCAGACGAACAACCCCAACAACATATCTGGCGGCCATCTTCTCTGGCGTGCCATGTTGAGAGCCGGATGCTGAAGGACCGGGACGCCATTGATGGCATCTCGTTCGCAGAACAACAGCACTTGGGCAGACTAGATCAAGACGAACACGAATGGAATGCCCTACATTGAGCTAACGACGTCAAGTGTGCTGAACCATGCTGGATGGGAAAAAAATACCGGAGAACCGGGTCACTCGACACGGTCATCATACACCAAGACAAGCACTTGCTTGGATGTCTGGTCGACCGTTGAGGTCTGTCTGGCGTAGCACCAAGAAAACGATAGGGGATCATTGGGCATTCCATGTTTACTTTTTGCCGCTGGCGGTGGACCGGAAACGGCTTGGAAACCTGGGGGGCGTTGAGGAAGTGGGCGGTGGTACGTCGTTCCCTGTCATGAACTTCGGATGACGGAGACCACACTCGGCCAACTGTGTACTCTTCCTGCACAACGGTCCTCCGGGATGATGGTCCGAAATGTCAAGCACGTTGACCACATGGAACTTGATATCGCAGAAGATCAGATAAAATATCTGTCAAGGTGTCAGTAATCGTGTTTTGCACCCGTCATCACGTTGTAGAATCTCACAAACAACACTCGAGTCAGTCCATCCCCTCGCCGCCTCACTTTGAAACTCATCGTGTCAAGCCGCCTCCCCGGTCGAAACTCGGGATGATCACTGTCCGCCAAGAGAAGAAAACGTAAAGAAATCTCCAAAACCTGTCTTTCAGATCCAGGATTCCATCACCCATCCAAAACAAAACAAAAATTGTCCCAAGTGAGAAAGCCGTTGAAGCTGCAAAAGAGTGATGGTGGTCGATGTTCAGCCTTGTCAATCCCGCCAGCTGCCAAACAAGCCTGCCAAAACGCCCTAACATCCCTGCCAAACAAACCACACCGGCACCGACCCCACATTTCCCCTCCACGTTCCAGACCGCGCCCGCCCAGCGATTCCGCCATCAAGGTCCCCTCCATTTACAACCGTCTCCCCCAAAAAAAGCGAAGCTATTCCCAACTTACAACACCCCCTTCCCCCCCCACAACACAACCCTTGCCCCAACCCCATCCCCAAAATGTCCTCCATATCCATCGCCTCCATCCCCCGCCTCCGCCCCTCAACCCTTTCCACTCTCCTCCTCGACTCCCCCTCCCCCACCTCCATAGCCATCATCGACGTCCGCGACGACGACTACATAGGAGGCCACATCCGCGGCGCCCTCAACTTTCCCTCCCAGACCCTCGACGCCACCCTCCCGACCCTCATCCGCAAGCTCCAAGACAAAGAAACCGTCATCTTCCACTGCGCGTTATCACAGCAGCGAGGTCCCGGTGCGGCGCTCAAGTACCTGAGGGAGAAGGAGAGGCTTGCCAAGCTGGAGGAGCAGCAAAAACAGCAGCCACAAAAAGAGGCGGAGGCTGAGGGAGAAGGGGAAAACAAGAAGCCGGCTGTGGAGCAGAGAGTATATGTTTTGGACAGGGGGTTTGTTGGGTGGCAGGAGGCCTATGGGGAGGATGAGAGGTTAACAGAGGGCTACAGAAAGGAGCTTTGGAAGGATGGGTATTGGATGTGATCACTACTATCATGTTACAATGCTCTTTTGGGGTCAAACTAAGCATTCGGCGTTGACGGGCAGGAAGTGCATCGGCGCACGGAAAGACCAGCGTCATTGCTGTCTAAGGTATCTAGTACAAACTTTGTCATCAAAGCAATGCTTTCCACCCACCGTACATGCGTATCATTTCCCATCAAAATCACCTTCCATTGCTCAAATCAGCATGCACGCAAGGGTAATACACCATGCTATTTAGGAATTACTCAACATTCCTCATCGGCTAGCTATACAAATTACCTTTAGGCGTACTCAGAACCAACGTCTCCCCAACCACCCAGCTTCAAAACCATCCGCAGGATCAAACGCCCTCTCGGTCCTCTCATACTCGAGCTCGCATCTACCATCAATAGGACGAACCACAAACACGCGTTCATCCTCATCAAAATACGTCCCCCCAGTCGTGGCCTGCTTACCAAACCCACCGCCCCTGCAAGCGAAAATTACAAAAAATGCTCTTTCAACTGTTTCAAAGCATCGCTTGGTACGAGTCTCCATTGAATCGTTGCACCAAAAGAAGCCAACAGTGTTACCATTGCATCCCACAGCCATGCACTTTTTGGGTCCCAGCGTACACATCTTGCCATCTTTGTACTCTTGCATGGCGTTGTTCCACACCCCCCTGGCATCTCCAAAGTCGGCTAGACGGCCGACAACAGAGGAGCATTCATACTCCGGGGATTGAGAGATCTAGTGAAGAGGTTAGTATCAGTATCAAGTCACTGCCTCAAAGACACACCTCAGTCGGGGTACTGCTCATGAGGCCAGATGTCCCCGCTGGAGGATAAACAAGTGGCAAAAGCTGTCGTTTGGTGTGCTGAACCTGAGCGGCACGTCTGTAAAGGTCCTCTAGGTCTTCGGGCCAGATTCCCGTGTATTTGCCCCGCGTCTCCAGCGTCGTGTCGTAACTCAAATTGCACCCTTGCCCGCGTGGGTCGGTGACGATGATGCGAGATTCGTCGTCAAACTGTGTCTGCCCGGAGGAACGTATGCCAATCATGCACTGGATAAACACCTGACCAGCGTATTCAGTCAGCTCTCTCCACAACGCTGTCTTGGTGTTGTCCGAGTCGTTGCACCAGTACGCGCCGCCCGTTGAGCGTTCGCACATGATGGGAACACATTGCTTCCGAGGTACAACGGACAGTGTTGTCATGATTGTCGAGTGATTGAAGCTCGGTGTCCAGGTAAGCCAAAGCCATGTTTGGTCAACGGGCTGGCCTCCAACCAGAACACAGTCGGCTATCTGTGACCAAATATCAGTACGAAAGCCTAGTGACAACATGATGATATAGGGAGGAAACATGCAGGCTTTGTGACTCTGGTGAACGTAGTATGCACTGCTGTGTTGGGGCTGGTTGGCTGATCGGAGTCATGTTTCTCGGTTGCTGCCTCCTAGGCAAGGTGGGGATGTAAAGTCTCGTCTTCGCTGGGGGCGCTGAGTGACTCTACGGATTCTTCCGGTATCGCCATGGGCTCTGGCACTAAAGGTAGAGGCTCTGGGGGTGGTGGTGGCAGGGCCTGGAAACCCCAGGTCAGTTGGAGGCAAGGTGAGGCAGAGGACCGGTGATACATACCGCCGTAAGTGCTCCCGTGCTAAATGCAAACGGAATGGCTGCAAGGCACGAGGATATTTTCATAGTGGCTGTTGGTGTCTGGCTTCCGCCAAGAATATCGCGTTGCTCTGAAGAGATGCGGGTGATGATAACGATACTTGCGTGACAAGCCGCCCAAGAAGGTGTCGGATCGGGTGAAGATTGAGCTGTCGTCGAGACAGATTGGAAAAAGACTGGAGAACCCCTCAGTTCTCTGGAAGAAACCAAAAGAACGTCTGGATTAGCACCTGACACGCTATAGTAGAGGAAGGAACATTTGTGTCACCTGGCTAATGACGGACGTGAGCAACTGGCATACATCTGGAAGGAAGTAATCTTCGACAGAAGCAAATGAAAGCCATCTTTCAAACACATTGGGAGGAACACCAATACCTTCAAAAAGCCAAAAAGAGACTGGACATACTAGGAATCGAACCTGGGACCTTCTCATGGAGCATACTTGTATCGTTGGAACCCATACATCTGTTGGAGCATTTAACAGGAGCACAGCAACAACACTTTTTGCAACTAAGACGTCTTGACCACTAGACCATACGCCCTGTTATTTACTGTTACTATCATCACCAGTTCCGCATCTTATAACTTTGAAACTCAAGAAACCATTTCCCATCCCTCATCACCATAGCAACCTCCGGTCACACACCCAACACACCACCATCCCCATCGCGCCTCTCCTGCCGTCGCACCTCTTCCCTGAACACATTCCTCCCTTGCTGTTGATTCTGGCCCGCCATCATATTCACCGCATTCATCCTCAACCCTTGGATATCCGTCGTCACAACTTTGATGTCCTTCCCTCTCAACCCACCACCACCACCACCCATCCGCTGCCGCTGGCTCCGTCCCTGCCCGTAACCCGACGCGGCTCTCAAACCACCGAACCCTCCGCGACCGCTTCTGCCCATCCACTTTGTTACCATCTCACCTACCTTGAACGATGGATGTCTTCGTTTGTAGACCATGCAGCACGCCAATGTGATAGCCGTCAAGAAAGCAAACAAGATCGGGAGTGCGATGGTGATGGGACTTGGACCTGTATTCTCACTCGCAGGAGAGGGCGACGCGTTGATCGTCCCTCCATTGACCGAGTTAGTACTCGTAGGTCGTGTGGGCCCTCGAACAAGAGTCACGGTTGGGCCAGGGAAGCGGTCGTTGCCTTCGAGGACTGTGCCATTCCCGTCTGAGTCGGTGAAAGGTTCTGCGATGGAGAGGACGGCGATCAAAGACGGGACATCGGCGTCGTCAATATAAGAATCGAGGATTGACCAGTTGAAGGTGCCGAGGGCGGGGTTGAGGACGTTGGAGGTGAAGCCTTCTGTGCCGGTGCTCAGGGTCGAGTTTAGGCGTGACAGAGGGGTGTTGGAGGGGAAGAAGTCGGCTTGGATGCGGATTTGGCGGGGGCGTGAGGTGGGTGAGGTTGCGAAGAAGAGGGGGGACCAGATTACTTTGTGAGGTTAGCCACCAGTAAGGGAGGTGGTGAGGAAGGACTTACCTCCAACGATATTTCCTGTTTGGAGTTGCGCGCCGTTTTCGGGAGCGCAGAAAGGTGTGTCGCTGTCCGGTGGGTTGTCACACATGATTGCGGATGGGGCATATACAGCAGTCAGTAGAAAGAAGGCTTCCAGAGCCTATGATGCTTCAATGTTGAGTAAGGTACAGCGGAGGAATGTTTGAGTAGGCACGACACGGAAAAGGGGCAAGTGGTCCACCTTTGGGGGGCAAGTTATGAGCGATCGATTTTTATTCATTTTTTCTGCGCGCCATGTCCTTCATCATCACAGCCAAAATG